ACTAATTTCAAAAAAAAATAAAGCCAAACATCTTTTTTGGGCACTTGATTATGAACATTGGAAAAAAGAAGATTTTAAAAAAATTATTTGATCAAATGAATCTACCTATATACAAATTCAAACTTTGGATTTTGGATGTGTTTGGCATAGATCGTTCAAAGAGTTTCACAAAGATTGCATTTCAGCTATAGTAAAAAAAAGTCCAGGTCATATGTTTTGGAAGTGTTTTTCTTGGATTGGGTTGAATTCACTAATTCCTCTAATTGGTCATATTATAGGCTTCATGTATCATGGTATTCTTGAAGAGTATGCTATTCCTACGGTTAAATTGTATACAAAAAAAATAAAAAAAATTTTTTTTTCAGGAAGATAACGCATTTGTTTATACTGTGAAAGTTGCAAGATCTTTTCTCATCTCCTCAAAAATTGAGCTTCTACCTTAGCCAGCTCAAAGTTTCGACATAAATCCTATTGAGAATATTTAGTTATATGTTAAAATTAAAATTCATCAATGTAAAATACAGCCTTCAAGTATTGTGCAATTAGAAAAATGTATTAAAGAGGAATAGGAAGCCATACTAGCAAGTTATTATAGAAATTTAATTAAATCAATGCCATGAAGAGTTCAAGCTATTATTACATTAAAGGGAGGTTGCACAAAATATTAGAATTATTATATAATAATTAAATAGAGTTAAAAATAATGATGTAATTTTTTTTTATTAATTAAAAAAAAATATCCAATACTTCTTTTATCCCCCTGTATACCTATAATAATATTTTATTTTTTTAAAAAATTTTGCCTATCTCAATTTAATCCTGAATTTTTTATTATACCAAAAACTTTGGTTGATAATTGATTAAAATCTTGGACTAATTGATCAATATGTAAAAAGAAATATAAATAAGACATATACTTCCACATGTTTTATGTTATACTGTATTACAACTGATGATATAATTGAATAATGACAAAAGAGTAAAATGTCGAGGTGTTCTCTTAATAAGAAATGGCTTGAAGTTTTTCCTCTTTCTCTTGTATCAGTTTCTTTTCTTCTCAAGATTAAAAAAGATTCTCATTAGACTAGTAATTAGTTTAGATAGGTTTTTATTTTACTAGTACAAACTTTTTTCTTCTTTTTTTATATATCTCTTTTATTTTCATAAAAAAAATAATAATTTTTATACCTTAGGATCACAGAGATTAAATTGGAGTAACAGTTTTGATGAAGGATTAGTGATAATATTTTAAATTAACAAGGAATATATTTTTTTAATTGAGCAATTTTTTTATTTCTTTTAATTATATCTAGAAATTATTAGCTATTGACAGGTATACCATATTAGTATTAAAAATTTTATCATTAGTATATGTATAATCAATACTATATATATTTCATAATATCTATACTAGGGTCTATTTAATTCTAGAGTTTGAAATTAATAAACTTAAGTGTATAGCCTGATTAGGTGTAAAAAAAAATAAAATAATAATTTGAATTAATTTTATTAATTATAGAAATATATTATATAAAAACAAATTATGCTTAGTTTTTGAAATTTATTTACTAATCTATCTAATATATTGATAAAATTAGTAAAGCTTAATATATAATTGTAGGTTCATTTAAGGAACAAATCAAATTTCGAATTATAAATTTAAAAATTAGTTAATTAAAATCAATATATATAAAAATTTAATATTTGATTATTAATCTTTAATTGTTAAAATTTTGTTTAAACTAGCTCAAATTATAGTAAAAAAAAAATTATTTATATGATATATATATATTTTTTTTTTAGGTGAAAAGGCATTCAATGCCATGGTTTTTATTAAATATTATATTTGAGCCATACATTTGAATGGTCTTATATATCTAACTACAAATTAATCATAACCAATCCACCTATATAACCCAACTATATGAACTTTATACCAGGATGGGCCTATATGTCAGATGGGACTGTACAAGGGGTGAAAATCCTGTCACCAATTTTAAACCACCTAACCTGTCAATCCATTTATGGAAGGACATCTTGAGGAAACACATGTTAATACTTCACAGATCATTTATTACATTATACTTCTAGGGCCACGCAGCTACGAATGAAGATTCTGTATATATATGTACCTTCTAGTAGATGCTCTGAAACTGTAATTCTTGGTTGGTATAAACTATCAAATCTGGGGGCTCGGTTGCTAACCAAGTGGGACATGACTCCTAAATCTCCCAGTAGACACTCCAAGAGAATTCAGTTGGCTTAAGCTGTCAAATATAGAGGCATAAATGTCAAGCAAAATGCAACTCCTATATATAGATAGTGTGAACCCATCACTTATATTATATGTTAGTGTCCAGGTAAGAACTTTCTTCAAGACTTCCTGTTTCCTATTAACATGTTGTGCTATGGAGTCTGCTGTGTCAGGAAAGGAAAGTATGCTTTTATCGGAGTTAGATCAGAAACCTTTCCTCATACAATCTTTTCTACTTTGACCTGTTTTTCAGCCCGCGATCGTCAGAAAGACCAGAGGTCCCATTTTTATACAGCCTAACTGAGTAAGGATTGGATCTGGATGTTTGAGTACGACATCTGTGGAAAAACTGGTAAATCCACAAATGAAGGATAAATTTATGCAATTTGCTCCTGTGGGTATTGAACTAGGGACATGCATTTGAAGATTATAAAGCACTACCCACTGTACTATTGACCTACTGGTCTCAATTATTTATATAATATATTATTTAATATAATCAATATATATAGTAAAAAGAATAATTAAAATAATAAAAAAATTTTTTATAATTAAATTAATAAAATTTATTATAATAGCTAAATTACTCAAAATAAGATTATTTCTTATATTATTTAAAAAATTAATAATTAAAGTTGTATAAGTATTAATATCTGAATTAATATTTGTAACTTAAACTTAAAAGAAAATTAAAAAGATATTGCATAACTTTTGTAATTTTTTTAAAAAAATATAAAACTACAAAAATTGATTCAAATTTTGTATAATCAAATGTTTTCAAAACAATTATTTATAAAAAAAAGACAAAAACTATTATTTTATTAGATTTAAGTTATAGTTTATATTAAATTACTATCAAAATTAATAACAATATTCATTATTTATCATATCTAAACTTAAAACAAAATATTTTAAACCATACAATTTAGAAAATAAACATATTTTTAGTTATTTATCTAAACTTATTTTATATAAAAAATATATTATTATTCAAAAAATTCTAAAAAAATATATAAAACAATTATTGATATATAGGTTTTTGAAAAAGATTAATATGGTCCAATACAAAAATATAGATACATGAAATTATTGCTCAATTTTTCTGACTAATATAAAACTCGCTAAATAAGTCATACATGTATACACATGACATAAAAGGTAAAAAAACTTTCAAATTATAAGTTTTTTAAAAATTTAGGTGACTTTTTTTTTTGCATGGATGATTTGGATAGTGTAACACAAGAAAGTGGTGATGCATATGTCACTAACATTAAATGCCAAGACGTATCGTGCGCCATAATTACAAGCCACAATGGAACAATAGCCGGTGCATATGAAAAACAAGAGGCTTTGGTGAAAAAATATCATGTAAGCGAAGAAAGACCGGGAAAAGTCACGTGCTATAACTCTGCTTGGTAAAATTAATCAATTATGTAAGATGATGACAAGAACAATGACGTGTTATATAATAGCTTAGCCACGATTTCGTTACTTTATTTTTTTACTCTTACTTTTCTTTATTTGTTCATTTTATTTTCTCATTGATACTTATATAATTATCCGATTTAATGTATAAAAAGAACCATGGTTGTATTGAAAGAGAGACAAGTGGAAAAATTGGTGAAAAAAAGATTAATAACAAAAAATCGTTTTTCAGCCATAATCGAATCCACCTTACATATAATAAAAACACTTACCTTCATTATGCAAATCTTAGCTTTTCCTTAGTGACAGACTTGCCGATAGTAGTGACTGTGAGATCTGACATGTTGTTATCTCCCTCCCCTTGATTTTTTGTTATTTTCGTTGATTTCTTTATTTCTTCCCTGTTATTAATTTATCTTGTTAGTTGAATTTTTTTTTTTCCCTGTAAACCAAACATCCTAAGTCATAAACCTTTTCCATATGACATCCTCGACTATCCAAGACCCTATAATACAGGAAAATACGATGAAAGAAAAATTATGAGTGTAGACAGATTATTTAATGATCAAAATAATGACGGGACTCTTACCGACGAAGAAGACACACGAGTAAACCTGAACCAAGTAAATACGATTCTATAAGAAATTGCGAACACATTCCGAGAGGCAGAAATGGGTCAAGCCCCTAGGATAGAAAACAGAGAAACCAATTGGGTTAGAGTTGGAACTTTTTACAGGGAGGATAATAAGGATCCCTTTGAATGGTTGGAAGTATTCGAATGAGTCGCAAGTGTTAACAATTGGGCCAATCGACGTAAGATTAGTATCGCTTCGGGCTACTTAGCCGGACTTGCTACAGATTGGTATTACAATTGGAAAAATACCATTATTTACTGGGATGAGCATGGTAACCCCGGAAGAAACTTTGTATCTTCATTTCTTTATTACTTTGTTACTCCCAAATATAAACACCAATGGCAAATAGAGCTGAACACACTACATCAGCAAGAGGGAAAGTGAGTAAGCACCTATGCCTACAAGTTTAAAAGATTATTGAAAAAGGTGGACCCTGAGAATGCTCTACTCCAGACATACGTAGTATGAATGTTTACTGGAGAATTAAAAGGAAAGATTGCATTCTTCTCTCCATGGTTAATCCAAAAGACCTAGAAGAAGCCGTAACAAGAGTGAAAAAAATTGAAGCAGGAGATTACTATGGGAAAACGACCAAGAATGAAACGAAACAAACCCACCTTGAAGACAGTATCGCAGAATTGCCCTGACAGATGCAAACATTGGTCACCAATTATATCAAGCTCACTATGTCGATAACAGCACAGGCTGAAGCTAGATTGAGATTTAGGCCAGATATTCGTAATATTATATGCTATAAGTGTGGTAAGAGGTGTCATTTTTCGAGTAGCTGCATGGCAGAAAGAACTAATACTCGAAACAAGATATCCACGCCAAAACAAGAATCAGAGGCTCAGTATGTGAAATGGACAGAATATGAAGACAAGGTTTACCATACTATTAATATATACCGACCGTATGGATGAAACTGAACCGACAGAAGAATCGGGCCCACATGGAAAAGATGTTTGAGGAATTATTCCACTACCCATGCAAGAGTAGAAGAAACCCAAGACCTCGTGATAGAAGAAGAAGGCGGTGAAGAGAATCAGTCGCAAAGAATGGAAGAAGAATTGACAGAGGCACCAAGAAGGGTGCCGAAGAAAAAGAAAGAACCATCAATAATTAAATCAGAACCATCGTATAATATTGTAAAAGACCTGTTAGCCTCACCTGTGAAAGTAACCCTTGGGCAGATGCTACAGTATCGCGAACAAAAGCAGAATTTAACGAAGGTCTTGTGGAAGCCTACAATTCTGGAAGAAACGATGTATGCCGATAAAGGCAAAAGGAAAACTATGGCTATAAGATGCCATATCAAGATTAAGAACCAACCTGTTATAGTAGTGATTAATACTGGCACGGCAGTCAGCTTCATTACAAAGAAATTGATGAATCGATTGAATTTGAAAATTGATGAGAAATTAACATCAGCAGTAGTTATGATTACAGGAATACATTTAAGAACGTTAGGGAAAATTAATAATGTGAAAGTTACCATTCAGGATGTCGACATTCTATACAACTTCCAGGTAATTGAATCGAAGAACGAAACTTTATTATTGGAAAATGATTGGTTTGAGAAAGTACAAGCCCGAATCTGTAATAATGAAAGACAAATGATTTTGAATTACCAAAGCGAAGTCATAAAAGCACCGATTTCATCAGGAAATTTTTTTGGTGAAGATCTCCGCAAATCTTCGGGCGGAGACCTTCGGAGAAACTCCGTCGTCGTTAAAAGTCTCCGGAGCAAAAAAATATATATTAACCTCCGGAGATCTTCGATTTATTTAATAGTAATAAATAGT